TATCCAGGGTGTCCATTCTTCTCCATCTCCTCTCCCAAATTCTATGCCATCTTGTCTCTTTATCTCAAGCAGCTTTATACCTGTAATCAGTTCGTAATTTGTAAAGAAAAGTTACTTTCCGTAGATAAGATTTCTTCTCAAGAAATATTGCTGAGAGAAGCAGCTGCAGATAATTCAAAAAGTGGAGGGCAAGGCTATGCATGCTGTCATTGCAAAAAGAAGTGTTCCACGAATAAATGCAGTTGTAAAAGCAAGGGATTCTTGTGCAATTCAAAATGTCATAACAGTTAAGTTGTTGCAATAAATAAGATTGTATAATGTCAATCACATAATATATGTGTAAGTTTACTATTGTGTATTATTTTTCTTTTCTGATTAAGAATGTACCATTCATTTTAGGTTCAACAATTTATGTGCTGTTACTTAAGTTTTCTCTTATCTTGACATATTAAAAAGTTGCATTTTTGTCTTAATGTAATAAAAATATTTTTATTCAACATTCACCATCAGTGCATGATGAATGTTGACATTTGCCAGTGTAAGTGAGAAATAATGATATTTAGCAAATATTTTGTACATACACGAAATGACTGTGTGAATGCTGACATTCACCAAAGAATCTGAACATTGCCAGATATGTCTTTCATAGTAACATGTATACTAATAAATTGTGTGTGTATGTGTGTATATACACACACACCTGTTAAGAGCCTGTCTTTTTCAAGAATATTCAGATATAAAGAAGAACAGAAAAATCAGTACCTGAAAAACAAATTTAATTTGAAAATAAATAATTATTCTAAACAAATATATAAAAATAATATATTTTCTCAAATATTATAAATTATTTTGGGATAACATATCAACAATAGTAGTTAATGCTGTTGCAATTTTTTTAAGTGAGTTTGTTTTCCTCAGATGTGGAAAGTTCTTTCTCCCTTAACTCCAGTTCTTTTTTCTTCAGTTTAAGTTTTTCCTGTTGTAGCTGAATAAACGAATCTGTTGTTTTCTTTGCTTCATTTAATTCTTGTTCAACAGAAATGTGTTTTCTTTTTCTTCATTTACTACAAAACATAAATTCACAAGGAAAACTTAGTCTTTGTACATGCTAACTATAAAATTAATTAATTTTTTTATACTAAATCTTATAACTTTGTATATTAATATGACTTAATAATTAATAATGCAGTTCATTTATAACAGATTCTATAAATTCAGTTCTTATAATTAATGCTACAGTTGCTTTAATGAAGTAATTTGAAAATATTTTAAAAATTTACTTACACTCACTCACTCCTTTTGATAAGCCTGCATTTTCACTATGTGTTAGATAAATTGAAAACATTTGAAAACCATAACAAATTTTTGTGTTATAATTACTTTGTATTTGAGATTATTTATTTTGATGCATACTAACGCTTTTCAGATTCAGAAATAAAATTTTATACCTGTCACATTGATATTTTCAATTTCTGGCAGTGCTGTAGATTCCTATTATAGTAATAAATTGCATTTTTAAAAAATGAACAGAATAGTAGTAGTACAGATAGAAATTTCAAAAATATATTATTATTATTTAATAGTGTCCATTCTATACAGAAAAATAATGAAGTATAACATTTTTTAAAACACATTAGTCTTTATTCATTTTAAATTTAAAGATTATTATTTACCCCAAAGCCTCTGTATCTCCCATTACAGAAAGAATTCTTTCTTGTAAAGAAGATAATTTTTCATTCAATTCTTTACTACCCCCAGTCTTTTCTCTGCTGTTTTTTATTCTCAATGCCTTCTCTTTTGCATTCCTTTTCATGTCAAGCCAGCACTAATAAAAAATCTTATTTGATAAAATTATACAGCAAATTTTTTCAAAAATAAAAAAAATTATCTAATTCATCAAAAAAGAGAATTAAAATGATAGTAAATTATATGTATAAATTATTAACGACATAGACACTATATTAAGATTATTTATTAATCAGAAGTGTTAAGTTCCTGATTAATCAAATAATCTTAATAGACAAAACAATTTAAGAAATAGATCAAGGAAGAAAACTATATGAAGAAAGGATTAAATTAAAATACTTTTTCAATTACACGACGGATTGGNAAAAGAGAATTAAAATGATAGTAAATTATATGTATAAATTATTAACGACATAGACACTATATTAAGATTATTTATTAATCAGAAGTGTTAAGTTCATTGAACAATTTAAGAAGCAGATCAAGGAAGAAAACTGAAGAAAGGATTAAATTAAAACACTTACTTTTTTTCATTCCACAATGAATTGTTTAGCTCCAACACACGCATTTAATTTTTTAACTAATTCTTTCCACATATCTAATTGTTTTTTTTCTAGTAAATTCGTTGTCAAATTTTCTACGGTTCATTTTCTTATTGTTTTTCTATGTATGTGACTAATATTTCTTTCTGTTCATCACTGATTTTTTTAAATAAAACATTGGAGGTCTCCATTTTCTTTATGCATCCTATATCATTATAATACAAAAGTAACTGTAACATGTGCAAACTAATTCACATGGAATTTGTTTACAACTTGTTACAGTTAAACAGTTAAGTTGATTGGTCGAATCATTATAGTCACAAACCCAGATGCATTGTAAATACTGTAATCCCATTATGCTTAATGACATATGTAACCAAGTTAGTATGACATATTTCCTCTCGCTTTTTAAGTTCACTTGATGGGTCTAACTCGCGACTACCAATTATGTGAGTCATAGTAACATGAGTGAGTTGAATGACATCAATTCAAGTACAACATGAAAAACTCGAGACTAAGGACCTGGGATGAGACACAACACACACAGCTCCAAGATAGAGAACACACACAAACTGGTCCTACACTAAATAAAAAAACCATGAAGTTAGGCTTAGGAAAGCTAAGTTTAACAACTCTGCTAAGCCTAAACAAGGCCTAATTCCCTATACCCTAGTATGGGAAAGAGGTAACTAAGCCTGAATTTATGGTTAGGAACTAAAATCTTAGCTAAAAATTTCAAGGAGCAAACTAACACAGGTCTTGCTTCTTCAAGAACTCTGTCTGGACTCCACCAGCATTGCCAAATGTTTTTAGTGTCTGTAGCCAAAAATTTTCTAAAAAGTAGCCAATTCATTAAAAATTCCTTTTTAATAACCTGTGATTTGATGATAAAATAAAAAGACATGCCATTTGTGCTTTTCTAGCAATAACTTTAATCACAATAATTGTTTTTGACCAATTTACAGGCTTGTAAACTGATCGGAAATAAGGATCGCAAGACTCAAAATACATGCATACACTGTAATTTATTATGTCGAGATCACTCATTTTATCTGCGAAGTAGATTGCAATGAATTATGCAACAAATGATTTTGCCAAGACAGAGTATAAAAAATTAATTTTTCTATATATTCTTAATAGTTAAAGGAGACAAACAAAAATTTATTTGAAAAAAAAAAAACAAATATTTGTTTTCTTTGGGTCTCAACTTAATAAAAGTGATGAAACACTATTTTAAAATGCATTTTTATTTAAATAATATATTTATAAATAATGTGTAGCCAAAATTGTAGCCACGTCAAATTTATGTAGCCCAAAAAGTAGCCAATGCGCCAAATGATATTTTTTATGCCAAACTAAAAAAGAGTAGCCAAATCTGGCAACTCTGAACTCCACCACAAAGTACACTGGAAACTTCACCCACGAGTACAGCAAGCAGGACATCTTGCTGCCAACAAGAGCAGTGCTCGATCGATGGCAGAGGGACTCAGATCGAGGGCAGAGGGCCGGGGTGCGCAGTAGTGTATTTTAATGGCGCCCCTGTCAAGAGAGGCTCCACAAGGGGCACCCACTTGTGCTTTCACTCCTTATTGGCAGGGCTACCAACTTGTGTCAACTACACTCCTTTTATCTTGTCCAAAGACAAGACTTCCCTGGGAATCCTGGAAATCCTACAGTGATCGTCCTCTGGAATTGGACTTACTGAGGGACCTACTTGGACCTCTTATTGCCGAAACCAAAGAGAATAGCCACTGTGCCTCATCTGTACCAATCTCTCTTCTGTTTTGATGTGAGTCTGAATGCCACTATGCCAAATTGCAGCTCTAGTTGCTGTTTGTTTGAACAGGGATAGGTTTCAGTTTAGGGAGATGTTAGAAACCCTGTTGGAGTCCATGGATAGGGACACAGAATGCAGACAACAAGCTTCATTAAGGCCTGGTACACAGACCCAAGGCTCATGATACTCTGACACCTCTGGAAGCTTAGGCCCGAGTCTAAAGACTCCATCAACGACTGACCAAAGCAGGACCATCGGATTCTCTATACCTGCTGCCTCTCTCTGCTAGGCCTCTGCCACGCCGAGGTCAGTTCGCTACTTTGGGGCGATACATATACCAATAACACAGCTTAATGTTACACTTGTTTGGGTAGTCTTGACTTGTATGACAGTATAGCACTTGGCATCGGTATCAGCTGAGCATGACATTTGCAACATAGTAATAAATTTAAGGTAATTTATATATATTGTGTATTTGAAGTTATATATTTTTTATTTCCGTAAACAGCTACCATATTTGATATTTGCAAAAATATATATTTTAGTTCAAATACATATGAGATTGGCTGACTAGGTGGTGGAGATTCGGGAGAATCCTAAGATATTAGGTGAAATAGATGCCAACACACACACACACAACATACACACATATATCCATGGAATTTTTTTGTTTTTGAATTTTTTGGATTCAGGAAGTCTCAAGATGAGCAGATTTGCAAAATTCTGAAAGGGTAAATTTGACACAATTCTAATACTTTCTCTTGTTAGGTATACATAACAGCCAGGAAAAGAATCTGTGATCAATATATACTTTGCTAAAACTAAGTAGACCTGTTATTTTATTAATAGGCTTGATAGTATGAATTAAAACTTTTTAATATACAAAACATAATTTTAATTTATTTAATAATTCTTAAATTTTGTATTACATATAGAATAGTGGTGTTTGCTGGAGACATAACACCAGTTGATATGATGTGCCATTTACCTGCTGTATGTGAAGAAAAGAATTTGCCTTATATTTACACTCCAAGTCGTGCTGTAAGTATATCAATATGATTTAACAGACAATAGATTGACATAGTACTTCATATTTGCTATAATCTTTAATTTTATAATCTTTTAATGACATCATACAGGTTGTCCCATTTAAAATCAGCCCCATTCACTAGAAACAAATGAATTTTGGTTAAGGATGCTTGTTACACATCTTATTTTAACATTATTTAAATGTACAGAAACTTAGATTACATTGTTCTTGTGCATCTATATGTATTTATCAAGTTTAGATCAACCTTAAAATAATATACTCATGTTGATTGCTTCAAGCTTCTGCAAATTCTTTCCTCCAATTCATGTATAGTTCTGGGATTGGTCTTATTCCCTTTTAATACCAGCTATAAAATTAACATCACTAATGTTTCTTTATCTCAGTTGGACTCATTTTAAATGGGACACTCTGTATAAAGCTATAAAAAATATAGTTTAAGATTGTATGTGTATTTAGAAAAAGATGACAACAAGGTTGGAAACAGAATGTTGCTTATTTTTTTTCTTGTTTTCATTGAATATTTATTGCAAAATTCTTATATTGCCAACAACAATAATTTAAAAAATTATTCAGTGATGGATTGAGTCATTTGAGAGAGATGGATGGTAACAGGGAGAATATATACACCAGTTTTCTACTCTGGAGACTCAGTTTTAAACCTAGCTGTAGAAAATATTTCATGCTGTGAATGAAATGAAATCTGTCTGTATAAATGAAGTTTGAAGCAAAATATTGTCAGAATGAGTGCATTGTATAGTACTGTTTTAAAAGTAAAATCATAATTGTCTATGATTCAACAAGAAATAGATTACTAGCCTACATTCTGGCTTGGAAGGATTTGATAAGAATGACATAGATGAATTTTTTGTCTCACACATACTGAGAAACAAAATCTGTTTAGTTACTCTAAGAGCCAGTAACAAAACAGCTAATGCATCTGAATTCATAAACATTTTCTCAAAAAAATGCAACTTTGAAAGTTTGTGCTTAAATAATTTTAACAGTAGAATGATTCTCTGAAGTTCTGCATTTGATGAATTGACATTTTTACAACTGATGATCTCAACAGAGAAAGTCATTTACAAATAGCCCAGTTAATATAGCATGTTATCAGTTGCTATAAGGAAATTTACTTAACAAAAATAGCTGTTCACAAAAATAGATTAAATAAATATTTTAAGAAAAAGAAGAATAGAAATGCATTTCAATTTGAAGATTTAAAAAGAGTTTTTCAGTACATTTGAGAAACTAATTTGTAATTTTTTCTTAGGTAAAGATTTAAAATAATCAAATTTTTGAAAGTTGTAGTTATGTTAATATGCTAAAAAAAATAATGTTTGTGTGTTTATTTATGTATTTATTTTCGATTATAATAGGAAAAGTCTTGCAACAATACTAATTAACAGAAAAACCCGTATTAAAATGTGTCATAATAAGTTGAGAAATAACTTTTTCTATAATAAATTACATTTTCTTAAAATATTTTTTAGTTTTGGAACCTATCTGCAATATTTTTGTTTGCACCATTTTAAATTGTCATTTTGCTTTGCATCTTTGACATAAAACAAGATCTTATTCATTATTAATTTATTTATGTATTTAATAATTTCTGCTATAAAACAAATTTATGGAAAAAGTGAAGACGATCAGCTGAATAATGAAATATATTTCAAAACACTTTGATTTCTAACTGGATTCCATTAAAGTAAACAATTTCATACCTTCTCAGCAATATATTAACATCATATGCTAACATTTTTAGATATATTTAATCCCTATCCTCAAACAACCCATTATTTTATTGTAGGATTTAGGAAATGCTATGGGTGTAAATAGAGGTTGTCTAATGGTGATGATAAGAAGCCATCAAGATTATGAGGAATTATTTGAAGAGTGCTCAACAGAAATTGGAAAACTTCCCATTCCTATATATGATCCCCAGCAAACTCTGTAATGTATCATTTTTAAAAATTCATTTTGAAATATTAAATTTTACTGAGTTTATTTTTTTTTTTATTCTTTTTGTTTTACAGTTAAGAAAAGCATGTGGTATGACATCACGTCAATTCTAATTTTGTTCATCAATTCAGAATATGAAAAATGTATAAATTTCTCCATCAACAAAATAATGCATTTTATTATGACAAAAGTGTAAAATAAACTAAATTCTTTTATTAATGTGATGCCTTACTTTATATTTAATTTTATTAATATTAGTTTCAGAATATAAATATTTATCCCTACAAAACTTTTTATTATTGAAAATTATTTCTATAACAGCATTTCTCAAACTTTTTGCTCATGCATCCCAAAATATTTGTAATGATTCTGCGATTCAAATCTTTATAAAATTTTTAAAAATCTGGTAAATTGGAGTCTTACTGTATATTACATAATGAAATAGAAGTTATTATCAATAATGCATAATTTTTATGTGAAATGTAACATTGAGTACATTTCTATTAAGAGTGGTTTAGGCCAATTTCAATTTATGACAAATAACTTACTTCAATTTCAGTTTGAGAAATGCTGTTCTATAACATATCTTGATTTAGATCTATAACTCTTTAATCCATAGTTAATCAGCTGATACAATGCAGGGGTCACCAAACAACTGCCCGTGGGCCAGATCCGGCCCACTAGGTCAATTCATCAGGCCTGCCGCTGCACTGTGCCACAAATGACATCCAATATAATTATTTATATGGAAATATCATAGATTATAGATGAACTTACTATGTAGAAAAAAATTAAAATAACTTCAAGTAAAAATGTCAAAATTGGTCATTTGACAGTAATATAATTTTTAGGAAAATCAGTGAATATCAGAGGGTTTTTTGTGTAAGTACAGTACATTAATAATAATAGTAGATAAATAATGTGGGGGTTATAGGCAAAGCATGGGGTTTCTGTATAAATGTTTGTATGGATAAAGAATGCCTACATCCCACAGTACAGAAAGTAGACTACAGAATTAAAATATTACAAATAGATATTAAATTTATCATCGAAAATAGCATTAGGAAAAGTTAAAATCATCTTTTAAAACAGAAAAACAAAAACCAAATTGATGAATCCAAAATGCACATAGTTTAATAAAGAAATCTCAGTCAACTTTCATATTAAATAACTGTGGTTTGATAAGTTCTTTAGAATAGGAAAATTAATATTAGTTTTTCTACTTCTATTATTTAAGGATTAACAGTCATGTCTAGATTATAGTAATAAGTATTAAAACTTTATCGAGAAAAAGGATATTTTAAAAAATTACTTCTACAGACACTTTCAATTTTTACTTACAAGTTAGAAATAGATAAATTCATTTATTATAAAGGAGATAAAGAAACATTTATTTGAAAAAAACAAATATTTGTTTTATTTGGGTCTACTTAAAAAACGATGGAAAACACCATTTTAAAGTGCATTTTTATATTATGACTCACACAACTTATGTATCTGAAAACCAGTATTTATTGTTTTACAAACACTTTCAACCTGATCTACAGGCCATTGTCAGGTATTTTCAATTTTCTGGAACGTTTTTGTATTGTTTCCAGGTTCGAACGATTGTGTGAAAAGAAATTCAAATTTTTATAACTGTTCGAACATCTGCTTGAGATATCAAATATATAAAAAATGTAACAAATACAGTCGACCCCCCAATAACACTGTTGATTACGTGTGCCACGGGCTGTGAACGGCTCACGTATTGTAAAATCTAAGTGACTCGTACAACATGGAATTCATATAAAACGGAATTATCAACAGTGTTATAGGGGGGTCGACTGTAGTATATGTGAAACTAGCTGTTACCCGCGACTTTTGCAAGCAAACCCCATTTATATTCAGTATTTCAACAAGCATAGTAATTGTTATATAACACCTACCGCTGAGAATAAACCAACTATTTTCAATTTGATCAATTTTCTGGAACGTTTACAATCATTCTATAATCGAACAAATATGTAATAACAAATTCGAATTTAAACGGTTCAAATATTTGGTTAAAAAATCGTAATACGTAAATATTGTACGTTTGGAAATTAAGTTATTACCATCAGAAACAAAAAATCGCATTTAAAATAGTACAGTAGAAGCCGTTCTTCCGGTTAAGCGTTAATGCTCTCCCCCGCGGGGAATTTCGAAAAATCCCTTAGTGTGCGTTTCCATGACGTACCCTAACTGTACCAAATTTCATTTCTTTAGGTTCAGCGGTTTGCCCTGGGCGATGATGAATCAGTGAGTCAATCAGTCAGGATAAGTAATTTTATATATTTAGATTGAACTAATTAAAATACATGGAATCAGGGCCGCCCTTAGCTCTTGCGGGCCCTTTCTAAAAATAAACTAAGTATTAGTAAAAAAAAAAACTAATAAGTAAAATAATTAACGTTAATTTTTCAAAAATTTATTTAAAATTTCTGAAATATAAAACAAAGTTTAAAAAAATATATTTTTAAGATTGTACGAAGTATGTTTGTTTTTATTTATTTTTATCTTAATTTTTTTAATGAACCTTTCGCACTATTTTATGAAATATTAATATTACGGGCTTTTATTAAATCATCGCAATTTAATTTTTCACATATTTCGTGCTAAATAGATAAAAGTGTCAGATTTGTTAATTGCTCCTGTGACATTGTTATCCGTAAATAATTTTTAATTAGTTTTAATTTAGAAAAACTTCGTTTTGCTGATGCTGTTGAAATCAGAATTGTTAATAATAATCTTAAAACTGATGATTTGGAAGATTCGTGCATGTTTCTCAAGAAATCTGTTTCACTTTTTACACTAGAATCCTCTGTCACGTCATTTAATTCTTCTAATGCTGTTATAATTTTGTTTAAATCAAATCTGTCTTCACAGAATTTATTCGACATTCCCAACGTGTATCTGATAATGGTTTTAGAGTTGAATTTGTTAAATGTTTCATTAAAATAGCCCACCTGTGAGCAGATGTGGAAAATAGTGTATACAATCTCGAAAGTGTTCCAAAAAATGTCATAGCCATAGAACCGAGGAAGCCATATCACCTATTAATAAATTTAAATTGTGCGCAGAACATGACACAAAAAATGCTGTCGGATTTTTTTCCAAAGTCCTTGCACGCCTTTTCTTTTGTCTACCATGTTAGCCCCATTGTCATGAGCTTGTCCACGGCAATCGTTCAAAGAAATATTTAGAGTTTTAAGTTGTTTACATAATTCCTCTGATAAATCAAACATTGTACTTTTCGGCATAGGAGAAAAACCAATAAAATGATCATTAATTTCAACTTCATTTCGTTCTTGTTCGTCAAGATTTCTACAATTCGAACAATGAGAGTCAAATGTTCAATACGACTTTTATCGGTAGTACAGTCTAACTGTACTGCATAATATTTAATTTTTTTTTAATTTTTGTTTTTTTAGTTATTATTTCATTTTTAGCTTTGTTTGCCAATAGATTAATTATCTCATTTTGAATTTTCCAAACTAAATAATGATCGTTTGTTTCTTTATCTTTGATACGTCTTATATGTTCTGACATTCTTGCATCGAATTTTGAAATTAATTCCAATTAAACCTAAAAATTTACCATTATTTTTTGTAAAAATTGTCTGATTCGTTCCACGAAGTGCATCGTTGTTTTTAGCTAAATATTGTATACTAAATATAATCTTTCTAAGAACTTCAGGCATCTGAATTTAATTGTCTTTGATGAAAATCGTCAATTGTTTGTTTTTTTGCAACCTGTTTTTTAGCTCCATAAAATTTTAAAGTGATTTTCTGTGTGGCAACGATAATTCATGTTCATTTAAGCGAGTCCTAAGGTGCTTCCAGTCAGAAACACCTTCATTTACTAATGCTAAAGATGATCTTGACAATTGGTTAGGACATAAATAACAGTAAAAACAAAATACCTTATCTTTTAGTTTTGAACAGAGAAGCCAGTTTCTGCAATATTTTTCTCAATTTAAATATACTTTTGTATAATAAGATACATTAAATTTTCTACCTAGTTCATCTATGGGAAAATCGTAATTTGTTACTTGAACAATGTTTTTATTAATTAACTAGCTGCAAGTACCCGCTTCGCTGGGTTTTTATTTGTTCGTACATTTAGACCTATATATAATATAGTTTTTTTTTTACATAAAATACTGTTTATCTTCCACTACATAATCTTTCTCTGATTCGATATGTTTCCCTATAATTTTCCAAGTTGCTGTTCTGTTTGATTATTTCTGTTTCGATGTGATTCGAGACCGCAAAAATTATTTCTTACACTTTGGCATTGTTTTTTATATTTTTACTTTTCACACTTCACTATTCACTTTTCACTTTCTACCTTTTTCTGTTATTCATACACTTTTACTAATGAAAAATCAACTGAAGCATGTGCGTCACACGTCTCCAAAAGCCATCCCCACTACTCACACATAACGGTCCTCGACTATTCCAAAACATTTAAGATTAAGATTACATTATAGCTAATCTTACCCATTTTCACAGAATGCAAGAATTAAGTCTTCCGTTTCCAGACTAATCAGAGAATTTTTACATGGGTCTAAAAATATGTTCGATTTGTTGCAAAAACGCAAAAAACCGCATCCGCGCCTGTAAATCTTGCACGCCGCTTTCTCTTAACACTTCCAATGTTAACACTTCCATTCTTAACACTTTCATTGTTAACACTTTCATTGTAAACACGTTAATTGTTAACACTTCCATTATTGACACTTCCATTGTTACACATTTTCGAAGTCAACTACTTTTAACCCCCATATCTCCCACACCCTTATAACTATCGAGACGCAACCACCATAATGCACGAATGGAGACTTGGGGCTACTACCACACACAAACACCATTCATGTGCGATGTGTAGTTTTGGCTGCAGAGTGAAATATAGGGACAAACAAGTCCATATATATATATATATAATAATCTGATTTTCTCAGAAGGGTGTGATGGCCATGTTCCAGGATCGTCTTCCAATATGGTCAATAATTCTTTGCTTTTCTCGTTTGTGCTAAGAAAAAAATCTTGACCTTCATCATTTATAGCTGCATCTTCATTCAATAATGAAGGTAATTCTTTGTATGTAATTTGTAACTCTTCTTTATTTTGTACACTAGTGCTAGGTATAGCCAGATCGTTTTCTTCGTTATCAGTTTTAAAATATTTT